TTAATGAGACGGAACCTGCTAACGACTATCACTTGTTCAGTAGTTTTACTCACGCTACACTTCTTCATTGTTTCTATTAGAGTACACTCAATGATTCACATATTCATTATAAATATAGAACAGTTTTCGATAAATATAAATATATATATATATATATGGATAGCCGAAAGTACAATGATTGGTAACCTGGATTTAAATTTAGAAAGGCACAAATCCGAAAAGACTTTAAGGTTGCTGTGTCTCGGATATCTAGTGCCTGACTTTCGCCGCCTAGCCATCCCCACTATGAGCCAGGCTAACTTAATAAAGTGGCCATAGAACGCAAACAGAACACATAATAAAATGAAATATCCATATCCATAAATGCAATGTAAAATGCATATAAGAAAACTATATAGAGAAACGAAACTGTATATAATATTACCGGTATTATGTTATAAAATTCGAAAATACTGAAAGTGAAAACTTACTCATCGATAATTTGCACATTCTCGTATGCATAAGGTAAGTAAAAGGTGATAGATACGTTGTTCGAATATGGCTCCAACAAAAATTTCACTCTTGAGCTGTATGTAGTTAACGTCGATCGTGAAACAAATACAGTCGACCCCCCTATAATTACGGTCCCTATAATTACGATTCCTATAAAACTACGAAAAAATTGTGACCGGTATCCGTAAAAAACAGTAAAAATTCCCTATAATTATCTCAAACGTCATCGGGCAGCCGAACTACTTTCCCGCTGTCTGTAGCGCCAACTACAGAGAGATTTCTATCGTCTGGACAGTATTATATAAATTATATATAAATTAGGTACTGTACATATAATTATATATTAATTATATATAAATTAGGTACTGTATATATAATTATATATTAACTTATTGTAACTTTGTTATAATTAAATATATAATTTCCGCTGGTCTAGCGTGGCGCCACGCTACGGAGATTTTTACGCTAACTATCGTCTGTCAGTATGTAAATTAGGTACCGTAAGTCTAATACAGTACTGTAATTTTATACATTTCTTGTGAAAGAAATATTTCTTAATCAACGGCCATTAAAATTATTTATATTAATGATGTCTCCGAAGTTCAAGGAACTATTGGCGGAAAAATAAGTTATTAGAAATCGGCCGCGGTTTGCTGAGCTGTTCCGCGACGAAAACAATGTTGAGCAATGGCGATGTCGAATGGTGACACTCGGTAAGTAATCCTACAATTTTTTGTTTATAGCGTAGTTTATACGGATTATTCCAAAAAAAATATACGTATTTTGGAAATGTTGAGTCGGATTAGTCTAGAATCGATTAATTTTATGGAAGAAAATCTTTCAAACAGCCGTAGTCCGTAAACTTGACACGTGTCGGGTTGTGATTGGAAGGATTCGTAAGAAATCGGATTCCTAAAGAATGGAACGTATCTCTATCTTATAGGGGGGTCGAGTGTACTTCTCTTCCATCCGCAGAATGTATTTGAATCGATTCCATTATATATTTTTATGCCGAATTAATTCAATTTTTATTGAATACAATTTTGGATGAGAAGAGAAGAAAGTATTGTTGATTTAGAGTGTTGTTTCCTCATAAATAAATGTATTTTTATGCAATTTATTGTAATTCTTTTAAATTTCGTAATTAGGAATTTGTAATTATATTCAAAATTTACAAAATTTTGATTGCATTTTGTCATACTGCATTCAGTAACTGAAGTATATTAAATATATTCATCTCCGTAAGTAGCTTGTTTTGTGTCCTGTACAGGATTTTATTTTTGTCTTCCTATTTTTTGGAAAAAATATAAAAACAAATACGATATATAAAGAAAGGTCGATTTTCCATAATTATACATCATTTCTATAATATATTGTCGTGAACATAACCAAGTACTGTACAATACAGTAGACAAAACGGTCACGGTTGGATCATGTTGGCGTACATTTAGAGAACATTCATGGGAACAACGTGCTTAATGTAGTTAACAATTTTTCGATGTTACCATTGATTTGAGAAAATTTTAGTCATAAATCAGGCTTAAGTTTAAATTTACTGTTTGTATTTGGTCTCAAGAGCTAGCAATGCAGAAAATGCAGACTTGCAAAGGTAGGAAGCCAAATGAGTAAAGGTAGGAAGTTTGAGATTTCATCACAAAACAAGTCTCGCCTACTCAGAATATTCGTTCAGCAATTCAAATCAAAATTGTAACGAACTGGTCTCGGTAAAATGACTTGCTGCATTACTATCTGATTAAATATCAAGTAACTGTTCCGTCTGGATAATTGACAGTGCCGGAACATGCATAGCAGATTGAAATTGATTTAATACTCATAAGTGTTTTCCACACGATAATGAAGGGAAATACTCACGCAATTGCTCATCAGTCATTCTCAAGTTCTGTATTACATCGGCTCTCATTGGAGTTAACAGCTGTCTGTTCTGGACAGAAAATTATGCAATGTTGGAAAGCATTCAAATTTATTTCACATTCTCTGCTAAGTTTGCCTAAAAGTTTAACTTTTTTATTATATTTTCAATTTTGTCACGTGTATTAAACTCTGTGGCAGACCTACCCTGAAGGCCTAAATTTAATTTATTAAGGCGATAAAACATGTGACAAATACGCATCTTTTGGATTCAAAGTAAGTCTAGAAGGTGATTGCCCAATCCAAAAGGACGCTTCAAAATAATAAAAAAAAACCTTCATTAAGTTCATAAAAGTTCATTATGTAGCTTTATTATATACGAATACTTTATCCAATAAGAGCCAGCAAATTTGACTGTGCAGCAGCAGCTGTCCATTTTTTTTTCTTTTTTTGAAATAGAACTAAACATTCTTTCATTCATGGTCCTAGCCTTTAGTAAGTTGACAATTTTGACTAATTTATTGAGAGCAGTTTGCAAGTTCTCAGGTGTATTTTTGATGTCCAATGCTTCAGGGTGAATAGGACAACACATTCAATTTGCTTCGGAAGCTACCTTCCGAATGCGACAAGTTCGCTATACTTTTCTCTTATGGCCTTTGCTCAGCTGTGCAAATGCTTACACACTTAGACCACTCAATGATATTTTTGGACATAACATTATCAAAGAGGCAAAAATGTCCGCGAGGCACTTTCGTGGCAAATTGCTTGTATGTTGCTTTGCCTTATTCCATCAATCCAATCAATTTCCTGATTCTCTCGAGCTGAGACCATACCCATAAACACCGACGCCCATTTTTTTTCGGGTGTGTCTGGCCTATTCGGAAGTGACGTAACAAAAAATTTGCAGGCAAATATTTCGTGAAGAGTCATAAATAGTGCTATCATTCCTTCAGAGATGTCAAACTAAAAATAGAGGATACTATAAATGCAGGGACTGCCTCCGGAAACTAAGCTGCTGCTGTGGCAATGAAATTATCGAAAAGGTTACCTGACCGGTTACCTGACAACAAAGCGACAAGATTCTGTGTAGTGTGTGAAAAAAAGTGTAGTTCAGCGCATTATTGTGGATCCTGCGGCAAAGATAGAGCAATTTATGGAATACGTAATGAAGCGGACGAAGGGTACGGAAAAATAATTGCTTGCATGCTATATTATAATAAACGAGAAATCAGGAAGAAGAGGTCATACTAGTTTGCAAGCTGAATGTACGAAGATGTTTAAAAGATGAGATGCAAAAGTTGGCGATAATGTACACATCTGTATTCCAGATGTTGACAGAGGTCACGGCGATATAAAAGAAGCGTTTTAAGCAGTTGTCATGCACCTTCGAAGACGCTTTCTACAAGTTAGGAATAGAACTTGATGTTCTCAAACAATTGTATTCCAGAAGTGAGTTTTCCATTTTGCACGAGAAACTGCTCACATGAGCGCAGAAGAAAAGTCATTAAGAACTGTCGTGTCTTACCAATCACTGAGAGTCGATGCAATTGCATTACTAAGTGTGCAACAAATCGCTGCAAATGTAGAAATAACAAACTGCTGTGTAACTCGAAACGTCATAAAAGTTCATCTTGTTGTAACAAGTGTTGATAGAGATTGATAATTTACTGTGATTAATAAGCCTAACACATAATTGAATTTGACAATTTATAATTAATAATCAATATAAAGTATGAAAGTAATAAACTGTAAAATAAAAATTATTTAATTGTAAAATGATCAAGGGTTTCTTCACTCTGCCTTGTATACACTGTCTTTTAACGCACCATCGTTACAATGACTGGCGTGTGAACGATTTCAGGCCAAATGCAACGTGCCATTTCAAGAAGAATAGTTTAATACCACTTAAAATATAGGGGTTGTCAGAATTCAAAATAATTACATAATCTTAAATATCTCAATACGAACATTTGGAATTGAACTACAAGTACCAATTACCATTATATCTGTATCTATCACGTTTTTACATAAACATCGAATTTCATCGTTGTATGACGAGGCATTAACGGCAGTGCAAGTTGACTTGTCAAGAACGTCAACCGTGGGATCAAGAGCAAGAAAAAGAATTACTTATTTTCTTGCAGTACATTGTTCATGGACTTTCCAGTACAGTACTTCAATTGTGTTTATGACACAATCGCCGAACACATATTGTCGTTTCGCCGTATTGTTATAAACTGAGTAAACAGAGTACGTGAGGAAATCGAAAACATATAGTAGTAGTGTGCGCTAGTAGAAAATGTACAACGTCTGCAACAATTAGATCAGATCAAATTTTTCAAAGTGCAAGAAACGTCGGATAATTTGGCATTTTTGTTAATCTGCACTACTCTAACCAAAAGTTGCTAGGTTAACGAACTTCAACTGTATCCAGGAAAATGTTGGAAGGAAACACTTTGTGTGAAATTTCAATTTAAGTTGCGAAGTATTTTCATTTATCGTCATCTGATTTTTTTTGTTTTTTACTTCCTCTTGCGAAACAAGACTAAAAAAATATTAAAATATACATCACAGTATTAAAATAAATTGAAAAATATCAAATTACTTTTATTTATTATAATAGAAAATATATTGGCGTGTGAATGTACAAATTTTGCTCATAATAAACAGCAGAAAACAAAAGAAATAAAAACAAATTTATATAAAAAACTTCTATGAAACTGTTTTTAGACTTCTTCAAAAATAAAGTTTTACATCACAATATAGATATTCTATATCTTTACTCAATGGGCCAGTTTCTCCGGTAATAACAGACATTCCTTTATCCAGTATATAACGATTTGTCAAATTTCTAATTCGTATGTTACTTCTTGTGATGTCATCTTCATTAATTTTAACTATCAGACGAACTGTAGAAAATTTCGAAGCATAAACGGCTCGTTTCAATTTAACATATTCGTTTTTCTTACAAATGAGTGTATGTCGTTTTTCGATTTTCAAATTATTATAGTCGATAAAATACTTTACTACTATTTTTATTCCTACTTTCCTGCTATGAGAAATTGGGAGTTTAATTGCAAAAAGGAAGCAATTTTCTACCACCCATATCTCCGAAATGAACTGGAATTTCTTTTTCATATTTATTTCTTTACCGAGAACGGAAGAACTTCGATTACAATATGTGAACCAAGAAGCATGCTTTTCGTTGGTCCTCGAGACATCTTTTTCACAAATACTATCTGGAATCATTGATTTGTCAGACGTTGCTTTGTAGTGTTGTATGGCATTTACTTCTTCTTCTGTTAAGAATTGTTCCGGGTAAACATAAGATTTTAAAAATTCATCAACCATCGTAAAAAATCTGATGTTGTTTAAGAATGGATCCATGATTTGCCGCAGAAATGTATTCGAGTTAACTTTTCGCTTTGCCCAATCATAAACAATTTTATAGATAGTTATTTCGTCTAAAGTTCGATATATAGGACGAGAAACGAGTCTGTTAATCACAATTTCATCACAGTTCAAAGCGTTTCTATTTTGATAAAATACTGTGTTCCAATCATCGCTAAATTTTTCCCAACAATAAAACTGTAAGTCATAATCACTGTTTTGGCAAGCAAATTTCGTAAATTTCACAAACATATTGAATTTGACGAAGATGAGTCATATGATATCGGCAGAAATTTTTTAAACTAATTATTTTCAATCGTTCGCTAATTCGATGAACCTCCATTGCAGGTTTCAACGAGTGGAATTTTGGATATTTGTTTTGCATAAATCTGTATATATAAAAATCATGAAAATTAAGATTGGATTAAAATGTAATATTTTAAGATATATTTAATAATATTATAGTTCTATAAGAAAGTTTCAATATGCGATATCAGATATTAGGCTTTAAACATGTATACTGTAGTAGAATTGGTTTATTGTCATCATATTGGGACTCGTTTATACTGACAACGATGTAAGTGATTTCAATGAGTCTACATATTATTATTATGTGTAATATAGTATTTGTTAAATATTATGTTATATGTTATCATATAAACTATTACTGTAAATGTTAAATTAAAGTATAAGCAACAATTTATCGGATAGATAGTTATTTATAGATAGCAAGAAAGTAAGCAAACAAATTAAAGACATGTTACGTTTCATATAAATGCAAATATAGTTTTGTCTTTCTTACATAGTTTGATGACACATCACCGCAACACATTGGCTATCTATCATCGGAAGGAGTGCCTCCCGGGATAAATTTTATATTATTTCTTAATTAATTTATTTTTTAAACACTTGAAAATGATCGGGGAAATTCTGCATGACCATCTTATTAGTAACGAATAAACCAGAGAACAACTACCATTTGTTTAGTGGCTTTATCAACTCCTCCGTACTTCGTTGCTTCTTTCATCGATTATATTTGAAAATGTAGCAAATGTTTTGCATTCATTATGAAAATATTGGAATTTTAACAAAAAAACAATCGAAAAGTTATATTGGGCAGTCGGATATTTAGTGACTGAAAACTTGGAATCGAATCCCGAAAGGCGAAAACCCCAAAAAGTTTCATTGTTGGTCTGTCGCGAACACATTACTCTTGTCTTTTACCATCTCCCATACCATTGCTATTGTTATCCCGGCTATTGATAAGGTGACCAGAAGCCGAAAACAGCGAAATATACAAATAACTATAAATAATTAATTACTGTAATTGTAATTAACTAGTGTAACTAATTATTTAATTACATATTTCGAACTAACCATATGTATAGAAAAAGATAACTATCGTTAATCGATATCTACAAATACAATGCACTGCACAATGCATTTAAGAAAAGCGTAAAGAGACTACACTGTATAATATATTCTAATAATTAAAATAAGTTTAATATGTTATAAAATTCGAAAATAATTTAAACTTACTCATCGATTATTTTCATAATTTCAAATTTACAAGGTATGTAAACAGTGATAGTGAGGTGGTTTGGACATGGTCCAACATAAATTTAATTCTTCGGCTGTATCTAATTAACGTCGATCGTGAAATAGATATTTCTCTTCCGTCCACAGAATGTATTTGAACCGATTCCATTATATATTCTGATGACAAGTAAATTAAATTTTATTGAATACACTTTTGGATGAAAAGAGAAAAAAGTATGTATTGTTGATTTAGAGTATTGTTTCGTCATAAATAAATGTGTTTGTTTACGCAATGTACTGTAATTCTTTTAAATTAAGTTATTAGGGATTTGTAATTATATTCGATAATAAAGAAAATAACGAAATAACAAAAAAGCGATCAGTCCTTTGCCGAAAATAAAATAACAAAACAATTTGAATTGTTCTTAATTAAATAATTTAATTAAATATACTGACTTATCAATAAATCTAATTGATATCATATGTGAGGTCACCGTGTTGAGCTTAAAATAAAACGAAAAGAGAAAAGCCGGTTCGTATATGGACACCGAGTGAAATTCAACAATTATAAATGAAATCGTTTATGTTTATTTAAACACCAAGTGATGCCTACAGATATAATGTAGAACACGACTGTAAATCTTATTAAGAGGAAAAGTTCCGATGGAAGAACTTGTCCATGTCGACTACCCCAGTGTAATGTAGAAAAACTCCACAGTTGATGTCAGTTGAAGTTGATGTCAGTTCAGCTTAAGAACTTCTGGAGTTAATTCGTCTATATGATTCGCTATTAGAGAACCATTTAAAAAAATCAACAGTTGTCCGGTGTACCTATTCTGAAACCCAAAATGATTTGATTGTCTCCATATTTTCAGTAGTTTCAGACAAAATAAAGCAGGAACTCGATCAGACTGAGTTTGTAGCTCTGATTTTAGATGAAACCTCCGACATAATAAACAAATCACAGCTCTCAACTGTTTTTCGTTTGTTGGTCAAATTAACCAACTCTTACGTAATATAACTTTTGTAAATATAATCTTTATATTTACATTGAGTGCACACTCTAACGTATTTTATAAATTCTTTAAATTGTGTACAGAAGAGAAGTAAAGAATATTTAAAATGTGTTAGATTGGTCAGTTGGTGAGCAATCAAGTTTTATACAATTGTTTTTTTCTCTTACGATTTCCTTGTGATGACTAGCAGATGAGCCCGGCGTCGCGACGCCAGGCTCATCTACTACTCGGAGGTACTATACTGTACATATACGTCCTATGTCGCAGCGACTGTGCGCGTAAACGCGCTACCAAGCAGAGTAGACAAACTGATTCTGGCAAATGTGCGTGTCTGGAGTAACCGCGTCTAGCTGCTTCATGCATGCACCTGAAGAAGAAGAGTCTTGTGTCTGTTAGACGTCCGTGTTTAACAACTCCTCAACGATAGTGCTCGCGAGATCTCGTCCCGTTATTTTGAAATTTATATACCCTTTTTTTGGTTTCTTTTTTTTTTGTTCTTTTTCCGTGCTGTCAATTGCTTTGTGATTTATGTCTATAACAATAACATCAATAAAGTATTTTTTGAAGACATTGCTGGTATATATAATTTGTCATCCTATCCTGCGCTGTAAACGGACAAATTATCGTTAGCATATCGAAACTGAAGTTAATGATAAAAGGTCTTAACTCTAACAGTATCGATGACGCATCTTCAGGCGAATGCACAAAGCAGCTACCAAGCAAGTTTGATTGCCGCTTCCATTGCTCACGTTTCGAAAGAAGAAAATGGCTGACTTTGGAAATGAGTGAAAACAGAATGAAAAATATAAGTTTTGTCTACAAGTACGTATCTTCTAATATCAGGACTTATTATACTGGTTTTACAGATAATGCTATAGAGTTTCACAGAAAACAATTTTCTATTTTATTTAATATACCTGGACACATACATAATATTGCTTTTCGGACTCCTTCGTCCCTCCTCAGCAGGTATTTTTCTGCATTGCTATCTGTTAAGATCAAATAAAGACATACAATAAGCTTAAAGTTCAGCCTGATTTATGATTAAAATTTTCTCAAATCAATGCTAACATTAAAAAAATGTATTACATTAAATACGTTGTCCCCACTAAATGTCCTGTACATTTACTCCGAAATGTTCTAACCGTGACCGTTTTGTCTATATAACAGCATTGTACAGTCGACCCCCTATAACGTGGGTTCCTATAACGGAGATTTCTATAACGTAGCGAAAAATTGCGACAGTATTCGTATAAAGACGCTAAAAGAAACTCGTAAAACGTCGTCGCCGACTCGTGTCGCGACAGGATTGGTCGAATCTGGATAGATAGTAGACGAGTAGCCGAACTACTTTCCGCCGTCCACCGCCACACTACGGAGAGTTTAGACGGGTAAGTTGAGTTTAACTATCGTCTGAACAGTATGTAAATTAGGTACCGTAAGTCTAATACAGTACTGTAATTTTATACATTTCTTGTGAAAAAAACATTTCTTATTCAACGGCCATTGAAATTATTTATATTAATGATGTCTCCAAAGTTCAACGAATTTTTCGCAGAAAAATAACTTATCAGAAATCGCGGCCGCCGTTTGTGCGCTGCTCCGCGACGAAAACAAGCTTAAGCAATGGCGACGTCGAACAGTGCACACTCGGTAAGTAATTCTACAATTTGTTTGTTTATAGCATAGTTTATACAAATTATTCCCAAAAAATTATACGTGTTTTGGAAATGTTGATTCGAATTAGTCTAGAATCGATTAATTTTATGGAAGAAAACCTTTCAATCAGCCGTAGTCCGTAAACTGCACACGTGCCGGGCTGTGATTGGCTCATGTATTTGAGGATTCCTACAACGCGAAATTCTTATAAAGCGGAACGTATCTACCACGTTATAGGAGGTCGACTGTATTAACGTCTGCTCTCGTACGTGCCATATTAACGAACTCGTATCAAGAAAAAAGAAAAAAGTTTAAGTTCTGTTTCAAATTTACGTTTATGTGAAATCCGCGATTTTTACGCCGATGTCGTAAAAATCTTTGTAAACAACTTTGAGGAAAAACCCACTCTTGGTGAGAAGTATATCGGAGGTCACCGATTGTTTTCACATTAAGGTGGGATAGTTGACACTTAATCGATCGGAATGCACCGTGTCAACAGAAGTCGATCACGTGACTCATTTCCCACGAATAACGTATAAAAACTCGAGTCCCCGGAAGCTCCGAGCGATCCCTCGGAAGTTATACTTGGTAGATGTGCCATATTTCTCTCCATACTCCGGACCGAAAGGACATACGACCAACCACAGCCATTTGAACTTCCATCGCCATTAACAAACATATTCAACGAACTCATATTAGACATATCCGCATAGAGGTATTTGTACTTTTAGAGCTTTGTGAACTCTCTCTCAGACTAGCAGGTAAAGCTATTAGAGCATCCCTTTTGTATAGTGAACTTATTTAATCGCATTTAACCTAAGTATCCTAGCTTAGTTATATAAATAAATGCTTGTTTAGTTTTTAAACCTATCTCCTGTCTCTGAAGGACACCTGCCGACTTACCGACGCACTCCACAATCAATTTTTTGCCCTCCTAGCCACCCGACAAGCCGAGAACGGGTTTTTACCAACCTGTTGCAGAGTAAGTGGTCATTTGGGATGAGCCCAGTGGCCCACTGCTAATCTCACATTTAAGTTTATACGTTTTCTTTATTAACGAGTGAAGTTTTTTGCTTTCATTCACGATACAGCCGGAAAACATATTACACTATTATTGAAATTTTGAAAAAAAATTACTATGAGACTGCTTTTAGAACTTCCTCAGAAATAAAGTTCTACATTACAATATATATATTCTATATCTTTACTCGAAGGAGCAGTTTCTCCGGAAATTATGGCCATTCCTTCATTTACTATATGACGGCTTGCCAAATTACTAATTCGTATGTTACTTCGTACGATGTCATCTTCATTAAATTTAGCTATCACACGAACTATAGAAGATTTCGGAACATAAATGACTCGACTGAAATTAACGTATCCATTTTTACGACAAATAACTTTATGATGTTTCTCGATTTTCAAACCATCACCGTGAATGAAATTCTTTATTCTTATTCTGATTGTTTCTTCGCTGTTATGAGAAATCGGAAGTATAATTCCAGTGAGAAAACAATCTTCTACGACCCATATCTCCGAAATGAACTGGAACTTGTTTGCCATATTTACTTCTTTACCGAGAACGGAAGAACTTCGGTTACAATATATGAACCAAGAAGTAGATTTTTCATTATTCCTCGAGATATCTATTCTACAAATACTATCTGGAATCATTGAATTATCAGATGTTGCTTTGTAGTGTTGTATCGCATTTACTTCTTCTTCTGTTAAGAATTGTTTTGTATATACATAGCCCTTTAAAAATTCATTATCCATTGTAAGAAATCTGATGTTGGGTATGAAGGGTGTCATGGCTTGTCGAAGGGATGTTTTCGAGCTCACTCTACGTCTTGCCCACTCGTAAACAATGTTAAATATAGTCATCTCGTTCAAATTTTCATATATAGGACGAGAGATGAGTCTACAAATCACAATTTCTCCACAGTTTAAAGCTTCTTTATTTTTAAAAAATACTGTGTTCCCATCATCGCTAAATTGCTTCCAGCAATAATATTGTAACTTATAGTCATTGATTTCGCAAGCAAGCTCGTAAATTTCACAAACATGTTTTATTCGAAAAGGTTGGGTCATATAATTTCGACAGTAAACGTTTAAAGCAAGTATGTTCAATCTTTCGCTAAATCGATAAATGTCCATTGCATGCTTCAACGAGGAAAATTTTGGAGACTGTTTATTCATGAATCTGTATATAAGGAAATAATGACAAATAAGAATAGATCAAAATGTGATATTTAAATATATATTTAATAATATTATATTTCTCTAATAAAGCTTCATTAAAAGCGATTAAATTGTAATTTCTAGGCTCATTATACTGTAGAAAAATGCACTTATTTCGTCAGATTTTGGGTGTCGTCTACACTTATAACA